ATTCAGTTGTGGTGATAGATTATGTATATGGTTTTCATATTTTATTTCCCATTTTACCTGCGAATATATAATAGTATTTTAGTTTCTCAATTTATCCTCTTTTCTTGCTTCTATATGCTTTCTTAGTTATTTATTTTTTAAGTGGTTTGTGTTGAAGCCTTGGTAAAGCACTTGTCAGGCTGTGTATGCAGGAATCACCAGATTACTTAAGGGAGCTGATACGGAAGACCAGAAGCTTAACTGACAAACCATTTGGGATTGGTGTTGTTTTGGCATTTCCTCATGAGGAAAATATAAAGGCTATATTAGAGGAAAAGGTTGCAGTGTTGCAGCTATATTGGGGTGAATGCTCACAGGAGCTTGTAATGGAAGCTCATAATGCTGGCGTCAAGGTTATTCCCCAAGTAAGTATTTTGTGTCCCCTTTCTGGTACTTTGTTGAATATGCTTTATATTTCACAAGTGAAATGCCTATTTTTAACTATGCAAATGCTTTGAAACAGCTATAGCCATATTGTGGATTCTAATATAATAAGACCATTATGCTTGACACAGTATGATATTGTCCTTGGTGGATAGGTAAATATGATGAAAAGATAGTTCATTTTTCCCTGTAAAAATAAAAATGTTTATATTGAGGATAATGCCTTTGATTTTGAGAAGAGACATGAATGCAACGCAGAAGGATCGTTTTGGGCTTTTGGCCATCATTTGCTCCACTCTTTGCGTTGTCAGTATTTGGATTGCAAAAAACATATTGCTTTTATCTTTACCTGTTGGATTATCTCATGAGCTTATATTGAAGGTTGGGAGCATTGAGGATGCAAGAAAGGCCATTATTTGCTATCATTGTCCAAGGACGTGAAGCAGGAGGTCATGTAATTGGACAGGTACAAATAGGATTTTTTTGTTCCTTCAAATGGTAATAATATTGTTATTTGCCAAAGTTTAATGTGGCTTCCTCTTGTTCACAATTCTGATAGTTAATCTCATATCCACTAAGTTTATTTCTTTTTCTGTGATTAGAACAATTAGGTTGTGGTCCCCTATTTTATTTTGTTTTTATTATTTCAGGATGGCTTGATTTCATTGGTGCGAAGAGCTGTTGATCTTGTTGGGAATCGAGATATTCCTATAATTGCTGCTGGGGGTATTGTAGATGCACGTGGTTATGTAGCTGGCTTGGCTCTTGGAGCAAAAGGCGTGTGCCTTGGCACTAGGTTTGAACCAATCTCAATTTAAATTAAGCATACAATCTTTAAATTTTATATTGGAATTTCCTTTTCTGATATTGTGCATGTCATTTTCAGTTACAATTATTAATCAAAGGAATATTCAACTTGAATTTTATTTGTCTGTTCAGCATCTTCTGAACTGAAGCAATTAATTGTGTTAATCAATTTGATTTATTAGCATATCTGTGATGGTTGTTGACTCACTTCTTCTGATCCATGTCTAACTGAAGTTCAAAAGTCTTTATATTTTTCAGTTACATTGTAACATGTAAAAGATTCTCCCTTTTAGTGACTTCCATCATAATTTCTCCTGTTTATGTAAAATTTATTTATATTTCTGAGGAGGAAAAACCCAAGAAAAGTTTTGAGAAATTGCTTCCTACGCAATTGCTAAGTTACTATCATATCAGCATGTTCTTCAAGAAAATAAATGTTGTTTGGAATTCTAGAAACCATAACATTTGACCGACCCTACACTAATTACTCATTAATCTACCCCTTCACCATCAAAATAATTAACCCTTTGCTAAAA